GATAATATTTGTTTATACAACATGAGTATTTCTTATTGATATCCAACATGCATTGCTTTTATTAATTATATATAAAATGTATATTTCTTATTGATTCTATTCCCGCCTCCTTATGGGATATCCAACATGCATTGCTTTTATTGATTATATTCAAAATGTATATTTCTTATTGATTCTATTCCCGCCTCCTTATGGGATATCCAACATGCATTGTTTTTATTAATTATATACAAAATGTATATTTCGTATTGATTCTATTCCCGCCTCCTTATAAGGGAATCTTTGTGCTGATTCAACGCTTCAAYGGTTCAACGTTCAAATAACACGGAGCATCGTGTACTAAATCCAACTTAACACGGTGTAATACGTAGCTTTGCTCTTTGCTCCTCCACCATGATGCRCTCATTGTATGAATTAGTTTACACCTGCTTGCTTGTGCTGCTATACTGGGTATAAAATGGTACGTTCTTGTTGGGTGTTGACCATGGGAATGAGTATCGGATGTGCGTACTATTGGTTGTGCGTATCGGTTGTGCGAWTYGGTTGTGCGAATCGGTTGCTGTGTGTATCAGTGTTCTTCTTGTGTATCGTATCGGTTTGCGTATCGTATCATTGTTGCGTATCGTATCATTGTTGCTATTGCTTATTGGTGTTCTTGTGTAGTATCGGTTGTTCTTGCTGGGATKTATCRATGTATCCTTGTTGCGGCTATCCGTTGTTGCGGCTATCATATCTCACCAAAACAAGTTGTTTGCATCATCGTCGATTGTCACAGTATGGTGGGAGAAGAARCMTCTTTTGTATTGCTCATTGGGCATGAACACATTAAGGATCTGGTTGATGCCTACTGTGCTGGCCTGGTAATTATACAGCAAGATTGCTGTGTTCAAGAGAATCTTCCTTTCGCCGTGCTCCTCAAMCCTGATCCTATCCTTCAGCCTGGGGAACTGTCCCTGGATCATCCGCATYCYCCACTCAGCAAGCTGTCTCAGTGATGTAGCCTCAYGATTAAGGGATATTGCTTCTCTAGCAGCTCTCACGCCTACAGCATGGAGGTCTGGATCCTGTTGTGAACTCCTTACAAGGTATGGCCTGTCCGCCATTTGGAATGCTGAATCAACCACGACTCTTGCTCCGTACAAGTGGTACATGTCCTCCATCTTCCTGTAGACTCCATACTCTGACATGGTGCTGTCATGCCAAGACCCAGGGCAGTTGAATGTGGTTGCTCTAATTTTGCCATCGGGGGCAAATACAAAGAGACTGTTGACGTACGTATCAGATGTCCATCCATTGTAGTACATGTTTTGTACTGCCCAGTTCCCTGAGGTTTGCAGTCCAAGCTTGAGGCCATCAGCAGCTCCCCACACCCTTTGCTCTCCAAGTAGAGGGTATTTCTCCCCAATAGCCTCAATATAAGCATCRATATCCTCTCTGGCAGGAGCTTGGATCCTTGCGTCTGGATTGTCTTGCAAGACATARAGGAKGACACACCTGGAGAACTTGATCCACTTGTACAACACTGTTGATGTGAGACCAAAGGCCATTGACAGCCCTCTTGCTACTGATCCACGGGTCCTGAACCAGTGCAGTGTTAACCCAAGGCAGCATGTCGCGTTTGCCTCCCTGAAGCGTCCCTTTGGCATYMCATTCCTGTKGAAGCTTCTCATTCTAATCTTCCCTGTTGCCTCATCAATCATGTACATGTTGAATACTGGTGCAAAGAGTTCCATGAGACCTCTGAAGACAGCGTGATCCACACCACAACAGTTCAGGAGGKCTTGCTCATTGCCAGAACTATACAAGTGGAGRAACGGCGACTGATTCCATCTCCTGATTGCAATCCGTGGCGTCCTCCTATCCCTTCTGCGCCTCTCCTCTGGAGACAGCTCTTTATCCAGCTCATTGTGGAGCGCCACACAAAGGATAATGAATTCTAGTGACATTGTCGGGGTAGTCGATGTTTCCTTTTTAATGATCCAAAATTTCTGTCAGCAAGCATCGATGCGCATTTGATGCAGCAATTCATCTTTCTTTTCAGTTTGGTGTCCCACTTACCGGACACTGTAATCGTGACACTTTAGATTTGTTTTGGCGTGCTTTGTGACACTTGCTTTGTGACACTTTAGATTTGTTTTGGCGGGCTCCCCCGGCTCTCGTTGACACTTGAGAACTGCTGGCTGTCAGTTGCTGTTGACACTGGAGAACTGGCTGTCAGTTGCTCGTGACTAAGGATTTTTTGAATCGAGGATTCCAAAAAAAGTATGTGTTTYTGTACATACTTATGGTTGTCGWGAGCCTGCMCGGACCAAAAATCTATGATTCTGTGTCAAAAACACATACTTCTATGTGTGCACGACTGAACTCTAATTCAATATTACATAGATATATGTTTACGGGAATGACCCAATATTGAACGGAAAGTACGTACCTGTACGTACGAGGCTCATCGCGGAAACGCTGAAGTACGAGTCTAGGAATGTGTGATCTTTCCTATTGAAATTATTCGGGCCCGTTTCCTGGACTTCATTACGAACAATTAGATAAAGTACTAATATATCATGAGTTGAGTGAATGAGTGAAAAGTGTAGTACCCTATCTATGAGCAGTATTAGTTGATATGTCGCTCGCTGCAGTTCTCTCAAAAAGGCTTCATTGAGTACGATATGACATGTGATAGAAATTGCTTCCTGTCGGCCTAATCGTGATATTGGTTTACGCAAGGGCACCATTTTTGTCCATTTCTTCCGCTACAAGTACGGCATTCAAAGCCGCACCTCTCAGGAGTTGATCGCCGCAAACAAAAAATTCGATTCCGTAGTCACCGAACGCGAGTGATTGGCGGATTCTTCCAACTTCGACGTCATAAGAACCAGTCGCAGTCAAAGGCATAGGGTATGTTAGTGTTTCTGGATCGTCTTTGACAACGACACCAGGGGCGTCTTCTAAAACCTTACGCGCTACCTCAAGATCAACCTTGTCTTCCGTTTCCAAAACAATGACTTCGGAGTGAGCTCTGATGGTTGGGATTCGTACGGCAGAACAACTAATGGGAACGTCATCGCCAAGGTCACAGATCTTTCGTGTTTCCCACGTCACTTTCATTTCTTCCTTAGTGTATCCATTTTCTTGAAATTTATCAATCTGGGGAATTACATTAAAGGGAAGAGGGTATGCGAAGATTTTGTTCTCGATCTCGTCGTGAGATTTCATGTCACCTTCTAGATATTGCTTGGTTCCTTCGGTCAATTCGTCCATTCCTGGTTGACCCGCGCCACTACTAGCTTGATAAGTGGACATCAAAACTTTCTTAACACCAAATTGCTTGATCAAAGGCCACAAGGCCATCAAACCAATGGCTGTGGTGCAGTTCGGATTAGCAATTAGCTTCGATTTTTTCGTGCATTCTCCGTTGATTTCGGGAACTACAAGTGGAATTTCAGGTTCATATCTGAAGGCAGACTGGATCGATTCAAATCAGCACCAACGTTTGCAAGTTTGCGTGATTCGTTCAAGGAAAAGATGAAAACTCAATTAGACGAGACAATGGTTTTGTTTGTTGCCTATTATATATCATTTGGTACATGATACACAAAGCACGATAATTTTTCAAGCCACGGTTGGACTTAAGTTGACAAGTTCCAGAACCTGTGATGAAAACGCAAGAGAGAATAATCATAACCTAGCACGAAACAAGAGTTTCCGAGACTCACCGAGTTGTCAATCACGACAGCACCGTCGTCGCCTTCGCTGATGGCTTTCGCGTGGGCCAAGGCAAAGTCACCGTCGACGGCCAAAAACACAACATCGCATTCGCGTGCAGCATCGACGCTGAATAACTCGATTTCAACCTCGCCGCTATTCTTGGTGGAGACTTTTTTACCTGCGGACCTTTCAGAACCAAAAAAACGAAGCTTGTCAACCTTTACCACACCACGATCTTCTAGACAATTTCGGATTTCTTTCCCTACAGCGCCCGTTGCACCGACGATTCCAATGGTGTAGGAATTTAAAGACGTAGAGGACGACGACGCCATGCTTTGGATTGACCTAGGAGTAAATGCTGCGGAAGTGGTTCCAACTTTCTGCCTATTGCTGGTAGAACTTGTTGGAATCGGCGAAAATGCGTCAACGTTGGGTGTTGCTGATAGCGTTGTAGCAACTACCAATCCAAACGCAGTGCAGATGGCGCTTCGTGTAAACTTCATTGTATGTTTCTTGATTGAAAAAAAGGCTGTATGCGTAGGCTTTCTTCTCCTGTTCTTTCGGAACGAAAATGATTGAAAGTCTGTGGAAAGAATGAGTTGCACCGAACTCGTCGCACGCGTACCGTACTCGTTGGGTTCCGTACAGTACCAGGTACTCTTGCCTGTACCATAACGTACAGAACCATCATTCAACCCTCGTTCTCGTTCGTTGTTCGTCGTCGTTGGAATGAAGAAGAGACAAAAGATCTCGGTTCGATCGGAGGCAACGTTTTGTGCTCTTTTTTTGTGCGGTCGTACTCACCGAGTCTGTCTGACTGTCCAATCTCTCTTTTGGAATCACAGGAAAATGAGAAATGGGTTATTCTTCCTGAAAAGCTCTATTTGCTAAATTTGCTAAATCTAGACCTACAGGGCAGACTACATATGAATACCTGACAGTTTTCAGTCAAGGATTCTGGTCTAAATCTCAGAGTCTAGCAAGTAGTAGTAGTAGTA